CAGCAGCAGCCGAGAGGACCCCCCTGCTGAACGGAGCCGGAACGCCACGACAGGTGAGAGCACACCGACAGGGACACCAGGGGTGAGAGCCCCTCATAGGGTGACACCAGGACTGACCACATTGAGAGTCCCTCATAGGGTGACACCAGCACTGATCACACTGAGAGCCCCTCATAGGGTGACACCAGCACTGATCACACTGAGAGCCCCTCATAGGGTGTGCTCTGTAGTGCCGTTACCTGGGGGGTGCTGCGCTCTGTTCTGCGCTCTGTTCTGCGCTCTGTTCTGCGCTCTGTTCTGTAGTACGCTTACCTGATTGGGGCTGTGCTGTCAGTCCATCAGTGTATCTCTTAAGTGAGAGTTGTCAGTACTAATGTCACCCTATCATGGGGATGTGCTCAGTGTATATCTCTGTCAGTGTGATCAGTGTTGGTGACACCCTATAAGGAAGTCTGCTCTCAATGTACCAGATTCTGTCAGTGTGGTCAGTGCTGGTGACGCCTCATGAGAATCTCTCGGTGTGATCAGTGTTGGTGTCACCTTTTATGAGGGTTTCTCAGTGTGATAAGTGTTGGTGTCACCCCCTGAGGGTCTCTGTGTGATCAGTGTTGGTGTCACCTTTTATGAGGTTCTCTCAATGTGATCAGTGTTGGTGTCACCCTAGGAGGGTTTCTCTGTGTTGTTGTCACCCTATAAAGAAGTCTGCCCTTAATGCAGCAGATTGTGTCATTTTTGTCAGTGCTGGTGTCACCCCATGAGGGTCTCTCAGTGTGATCAGTGCTGGTGACACCCCATGAGGGTCTCTCAGTGTGATCAGTGCTGGTGACACCCCATGAGGGTCTCAGTGTGATCAGTGCTGGTGTCACCCCTATAAGGTTCTCAGTGTGATCAGTGCTGGTGACACCCCATGAGGGTCTCTGTGTGATCAGTGCTGGTGACACCCCACGAGGGTCTCAGTGTGATCAGTGCTGGTGTCACCCCTATAAGGTTCTCAGTGTGATCAGTGCTGGTGACACCCCATGAGGGTCTCTCAGTGTGATCAGTGCTGGTGTCACCCCTATAAGGGTCTCAGTGTGATCAGTGCTGGTGACACCCCATGAGGGTCTCTCAGTGTGATCAGTGCTGGTGTCACCCCTATAAGGGTCTCAGTAGGAAGATGAGACCAGCAGTACTTTTCTGGTCTGGACCGGATTGGACTGCGCTGGTGTGAACAGAGCCCAGAAATAACATAGGGATCCATTGGGATGCTGTTCTGGTCCGGACATGATCCGGTCATGGTGTGAACAAGCCCCCAGAGCCACAATCCATAACAGGTGAGTGTTTAGGAACATGTTCCCGATACTCTTCAGTAGCAGGCATGTGATTGGATGAGGAGTGGTGATGTCACAAGGTGACGGTAGAGGTAGGTAGCGAGGTGGCGGGCGCAGCGACCTCCATCCAGCGTCTTGCGGGTACATCTGCTTCAGTTTTACTGTCAGGAAGTGGGAAGAGATAATCCGATCAACATGACAGCTGAGCAAATAGGATCTGCATTCCGCAACACACACGTCTGACATTGATGGGACATGACAGGCCTGGGAAGGGGGAGGAGGGGGACCAGGTGTAGGGAATACATGGTTATAATTAGGGATGCACCAATACCGGTTTTTCGGTATCGAGTACCGATATTTATATTTCGGTACTTCCGGTAGCATAGAGCCGACTTCCGGGTAATCAGGAAGCCAGGCGGCGTGTCATTACCCACCGCCTGGCTTCTTGATTGCCCGGGAAGCCGACTCCATTCTGTTTGGCCGGCTCGATGCTGATTGGCCAGGAAAGCACCCTGCAGACACCTCATTCCCCCTCACATAGATCCTTAGCAGCCGTCATTACCATAGCAGTCCCCCGGCCAGCTGGGCATACACCGCTCTCCAAGCTCTCCCGGATCTGCCCATGTCTTCTGTGTGCACAGCGCCCGTGTGATCGGCCCTCAGCCTGTTACTGCGCATGCGTAGACTGCCCAGCGCTCTCAATCAGAAATCCTGTGCACACAGGAGCCGTGGGCAGATCTTGGAGAGCGGTGTCTGCCCAGCTGGCCGAGGGACTGGTACGGTAATGACTGCTGCTAAGGCTCTATATGAGGGGAATGAGGTGCTGGCAGGGAGGGGGTCGTGTCGCCAGATTTGTTTGCCTTACTCGACACTGATTGGCCAGGAAGCCGGCTTCCCGGCCAATCAGCATCAAGCCGGCCAAACGGCATGCAGCCAGCTTCCCGGCTCCATGTTCCCTTGCGGCACTGCCGGTCAGAGGAAATCTCCCCCTGACCAGAAGTTCCGGTATCGGGAAAGGTATCGCAGCATTTGGGCGAACGAGTACTCGGCCAAATACTCGGTATCGGCACCAATACAAATACTAGTATCGGTGCATCCCTAGTTATAATGTACATGTATTATACATTTCATCACGTTATCTGCGTGTTCAGAAATGTCTCACAGACGTCTCTATATAACCTTCTTGTGTAACTTCGTCCGCAGGGCCGAGCAATATCTGCAGAGCGTCTCCTGAACTATTTCAGCAATTCAGACCTCCTGCTTCGTGCAGATGTTGCGTGCTTTATCTGTTTTTGTTTTCATTTCAACGGGTTGTCTCTCTCCGTTTGCCAGGCCGACACTGCTCCCCGCAGACAAAGGGGTTTGATGCAGCAGGCCTGTTTATTATTTTTTGAGAAGGGCTTAACCGTGAAAATCACCCATCTGTTTCCCGTTAGAGGTAATCAATGCCAAGTGCTTCGGCCGCCGCGCCACTGCAAGTCCCAGCAGGCCTATCCCCGGGCCGAAGGAGGTTTGCAGAGCATGCTGGGACCTTTGGTTCCATTGCTGCGGAATGCCGCAGATTGCCTAAGGCTGCCGTTTTCCTGGTAATGCGTGTGACGGTTTGCTCTGGTTTGCCCGGCAGGGACACTTCCACTTCCTGTTGCAGCAAATCACAGATCCCTTTTGTGCACAGCGGAGCTCTCCTGGGTCCTCAGTTGCACAATAGAGCTTGTGGTTTGCTGCGGAATGCTTGACAATCCGAGATTTCGCAGTCTTCCAATGTGGGGGGGTTGCAGGAACCATCATCAAAGAGTTTTTTTTAAAACTGGTCAAACTGGTGTCACAGATCAGAACCCGTCCACTGAAATCTTATTGAAGGTTTAACATGTTGCAGGAGCCGGGTCGGCAGTGCGCCTTACAGCCGGTGCCCAACTTTTGAGGTTTCCTCTAGTTGTTGTCGGTGGGGCTTACCCTGAACCCAAGGGGTAAGTGCTTATCTTGTCTGGGGGATGGAATCAAGCAGATCTGCTCCCCTAGGGGATGGAATCAAGCAGATCTGCTCCCCTAGGGGATGGAATCAAGCAGATGTGCTCCCCTAGGGGGGGTGGGTGGAATCAAGCAGATGTGCTCCCCTAGGGGGATGGAATCAAGCAGATGTGCTCCCCTAGGGGGATGGAATCAAGCAGATGTGCTCCCCTAGGGGGATGGAATCAAGCAGATGTGCTCCCCTAGGGGGATGGAATCAAGCAGATGTGCTCCCCTAGGGGG